ATTATTTTTCTTGATGTATAAGGAATAGGACCTGTAGACCACATCAATCTTGCTGTAAGATATTCTGCTGTCATATCTGTCATTGGGGCTATTGCTTCACTCAACCGTTGCTTCAGATTCTCTCCTTTAATTTCCGGGACCCCTTGAAAACGTAGGACCAAATTGGCCTTCTCCATTTGCAGCTGTAAAAGTTTTGACTCTTCCATGGCTTGCTTCATTTCCAGCTTTTGCACCTTTTTCTTAACTGTTTTAGTATTGGCGTCCATTTCCTTCACCTTCTCCCCCATTTGCTCTGTTGCTTTTAAAGATTGAGTCAATTGTAGCTGCTGTGAAGCCAAACTTTGGCCGATTGTTGACAGTTGTTGCTTGATATTAGTCATCTCATCCAGCAGAGGGCGCAAGAAATCTACCAACATTTTTGAAAGCTCAATGGTCTCTTCCGTTTGAGGACTACCCACTAGTTTCGCTTTCAAAAGTTTTTCTTTTTCCTGTTTCTTCCCCGCCATCTTTTTGGATTTGTTTACTTATCAAAAAGTTGCTAAATTCTCTGATATTTGCCCAAATGCTTGTCTGCGCTCTGGTCTCTTAAAACAGTTTCAAACGCTTATTTTTCCACTCCCCCCTCTTTATTCCATGTTTTCATTATGTGTTTGGGAGGGGCCCCTCACCTGCTCGCTTCTGTCGCTCTTTAAGGGGGGCAACTTTCTTTTTAAATCTTCATACTTGCTTCAACCCAACTCACAGTTTGTTGTTGGCCAACCGGCCTCGCTCGGCATTGGGTTTTTTTCACCCGATCTCCAACGCTTATCCCGGTCAGCAGCACTCGTACCATTCGATCACTCAGCGGCAGGACCTTCGGGGTGGAGGAGCGCCTCAATTCTCCGGCATTGTGCCATCAAAGAGGTCGCCTCTCAAAGGCCCCTGGCTAGGAGCCTTTTGCCAAGGCTCCGGGGGGGGTTGTGACCTGTCGCACCCCCTCCTACACGCTGGTGTGCAGTTTGCATCCCTGGGACGTCTGGGAGATGCGTCTGCCTGCATCATAGACCGGACGTCCGGGGCCTGTTTTTTTCTGTTCTGAAAGTCCTGAGAGCCATTCCAAGTTGTACATTTCAAGTGAGAACATCCTTGTCTTAAAAAGCATTTTCTGGTTCCAGAAGAGAAAATATAGATATTTTCTTAGTGCCCCCCCCCCCCAGTTTCCCGGTTGCTTGGACTTTCATTGTAAATATCTGCAATGACTGAAATGCTTTTTAGATCAAGGTTTTTCTCACTCCAAGAAAAGTAAGAGAGAGAGAGAAAGAATATTTCATGGAGGGTCCAATTCCAAGGCAAATCATTCAACATCACAGTAATCCAAGTCTATGCCCCAACCACTGATGCAGAAGAGGCTGAAGTGAACCGGTTTTATGAAGACCTACAACACCTCCTAGAACTAACACCAAAAAATGATATCCTCCTCATCATAGGGGACTGGAATGCTAAAGTAGGAAGTCAAAAGGTAACCGGAATAAGATACAAGTTTTGCCTTGGAAAGCAAAATGAAGCAGGGCAAAGGTTAACAGAGTTTTGTCAAGAGAACACACTGGTCATAGCGAACACCCTTTTCCAACAACCTAAGAGACGACTCTACACATGGACATCACCAGATGGGCAACACCGAAATCAGATTGACTATATAATTTGCAGTCAAAGATGGAGAAGCTCTATCCAGTCAGTAAAAACAAGATCTGGAGCTGACTGTGGTTCAGATCATGAGCTACTCATTGCAAAATTCAGACTTAAACTGAAGAAAATCGGGAAAACCACGAGGCCATTCAGGTTTGACCTAGATCACATCCCTGATGAATATACAGTAGAGGTGAAGAATAGATTCAAGGGTCTGGATTTGATAGATAGAGTGCCTGAAGAACTATGGACGGAGGTTCGTGACATTGTACAGGAGGCAGCAATCACCACCATACCAAAGAAAAAGAAATGCAAGAAAGCAAAATGGCTTTCTGATGAGGCTTTACAAATAGCAGAGGAAAGAAGGAAAGCGAAAGGCAAAGGCGAAAAGGAAAGATTTACCCAACTGAACGCAGATTTCCAGAGAACAGCAAGGAGAGATAAGGAGGCCTTCCTGAATGAACAGTGCAAAGTAATAGAAGAAAACAATAGAATGGGAAGGACTAGAGATCTCTTCAAGAAAATTGGAGAAATCAAGGGAGCGTTCCATGCAAAGCTGGCCATGATAAAGGACAAAAACGGTAGGGACCTAACAGAAGCAGAAGAGATTAGGAAAAGATGGCAAGAATACACAGAAGAACTATACAAGAAAGACCTCGATGTCCTTGACAACCACGACGGTATAATCACTGACCTCGAGCCAGACATCCTGGAATGTGAAGTTAAATGGGCCTTAGAAAGCATTGCTAACAACAAAGCTAGTGGAGGTGATGGTATCCCAGCTGAGCTATTCAAAGTCTTAGAAGAGGATGCTGTTAAAGTTCTGCACTCCATTTGCCAGCAAATTTGGAAAACGCAACAGTGGCCACAGGATTGGAAAAGATCAGTATACATTCCAATCCCAAAGAAGGGCAATGCCAAGGAATGTTCAAACTATCGCACAATTGCACTCATATCACACGCTAGCAAGGTCATGCTCAAGATCCTACAAGCTAGGCTTCAACAGTACGTGGATAGAGAACTACCAGAAGTACAAGCTGGGTTTCGAAGAGGTAGAGGAACGAGAGATCATATTGCCAACATTCGCTGGATTATGGAGAAAGCAAGAGAGTACCAGAAAAATATCTACTTCTGCTTCATTGACTATGCTAAAGCCTTTGACTGTGTGGATCACAACAAACTATGGCAGGTCCTTAAAGAGATGGGAGTACCAGACCACCTCACATGTCTCTTGAGAAACCTGTATAAGGGCCAAGAAGCGACAGTTAGAACCGGATATGGAACAACTGATTGGTTCAGCATAGGAAAAGGAGTACGACAAGGATGTATATTGTCGCCTTGCTTATTTAATATATATGCAGAGTACATCATGCGAAATGCTGGCCTGGATGAATCACAAGCGGGAATTAAGATTGCTGGGGAAAAGATCAACAACCTCAGATATGCAGACGATACCACTCTAATGGCAGAAAGTGAAGAGGACCTTAAGAGCCTCTTGCTCAGTGTGAAAGAGGTGAGCACAAAAGTGGGCTTGAAGCTCAACATCAAAAAAACTAAGATCATGGCATCCGGCCCCATCACTCCTTGGCAAATAAAAGGGGAAGTCGTGGAAGTAGTGACAGACTTCACGTTCCTGGGATCCCAGATCACCGCAGACTGTGACTGCAGCCATGAAATTAAAAGACGCCTGCTCCTTGGGAGGAAAGCGATGGCGAACCTAAACAGCATGATAAAAAGTAGAGACATCACCCTGCCAACAAAAATACGCATGGTCCAAGCAATGGTATTCCCAGTAGTCATGTATGGCTGCGAGAGTTGGACTATAAGGAAGGCCGAGCGCAGAAGAATAGATTCTTTTGAACTATGGTGCTGGAGAAGACTCTTGAGAGTCCCTTGGACTGCAAAAAGATCAAATCAGTCAATCCTAAAAGAAATCAACCCTGACTGTTCCCTGGAAGGCCAGATAATGAAACTGAAGCTCAAATACTTTGGCCACCAAATGAGAAGGGAGCACTCACTGGAAAAGACCCTGATGCTGGGAAAGATTGAAGGTCAAAGAAGACGGGGACGGCAAAGGATGAGATGGTTAGATAGTGTCATAGATGCATCGAACATGAAATTGAGCAAACTTCAGAGGATGGCGGAAGACAGGAAGGCCTGGCGTGATCTGGTTCATGGGGTCGCAAAGGGTCGGACGCGACTGTGCAACTGAACAACAACAAAATTTTTGTTTTGTTTGTTTGTTACTGTGCTTCCCGAAATTTTGCCTACTGTCCCACTGGGAAAATCGAAAAAAGTCCTCAGACTTTTTTGTGCTGTATATCTTGAGTAGGGATGGGCATGAACTGGGAAAATGGAGATCCCAGGACAAACCACCTCTGCTTTGTGAACCGGTTTGGTGTGTGAGGTTAGTGGATTTCCCTCCCTCCTTTCTGCTGACAGTGGCTCCCTGAGACCAGCAGAATGTGGGGGGGGGGGAATATCTTGCAGAAGCCTTTTAAAGGGAGTGTTCCCTTTAAATGGCTTTTGCAAGTGGGCACCACAGCTGAGTGATGTCCAAGCTGTGAGTTCACCACTTCCAGGTGAACTGGATGCTTGGACTTCAGTTGGCTGTGGTGGCCGCTTGCAAAAGCCATTTAAAGTGAACCCTGGGAGGTTCGTAGAGCTTGTGAGGGCAGAACTACAAACCAGGACAAGTTTGTGACAAACTTCAGTTCCTAATTTGGTTTGTGCCCATCCCTAATTTTGAGTGTGAAAAACCTTGCCTTAGGAAGCATTTCACTCATTCTGAAAAACAAAATAAAAGAGCTTTTTGTAGTGCTTTTCCAATTTTTTCATCAGAAAATTAAAAAGGGATCTTGGGAAGGGGGAGGTACCTTCCTACTTTTTTCCTAAGCTTTCACATCTCTGTCCATACCTGTGTTGGCTGGGAAGAGAAGGGGGAAGTACCTGTGCTGCTTCTTTATAATTCTTTTGAATCTCAGCTGGAAAGATGCTTCAGGCAGGCTCCTGTAAAAGGGTTCAGTGGGGTATTCTGTTTCAGTGTTAACATTTGGGCAAATTTGGAGTCATTTGGGCAGTTAGGCTTTCTACTAAACTGGTGTTAGGGAATTCCTCCTGTGTTGTAAATATTTTCTTGTAGGTTTGAGTCATCTAAGAAATGCTATTTTGATTTAGAGTGAAAGAGGCTTGGGACCAGTAATTTTAACTGTGTATTTTGGGGGCCAGCATGTGTCTTATGTGATCAATTAAGGGTAACTGTTTTTTTTAAATATTGCTGAGTTTGAGTCCAGTGCAATCATAAAAGAATCACATTCCTTGTATTTTTGCAGATTGCCTTCATGACTGTAACTCTGTTTCCTGTCCGGCTGTTCTTTGCTGCATTTATGATGTTGTTGGCCTGGCCCTTTGCATTCCTCGCCTCTATGGGATCTGCTGAGAAAGAACTTGAAAAGCCTCTTTCCTGGTGGCGAAAGTGAGTCGTTATGTCTATCAGTTTGGTAAAATCTACCCAGAGTTAGAGTGTGTCAAGTTCCATTGGCATGGTTTATGGGTTTAAGATTTTCTTCTAGCTAGGATTGTGAAACTCATCTGCAACAGAATAAAACACTTCAGTGCTTTCTCCTAATGGAACTAAGGTTCAAATCTTCTGCATGTTTATCTAGAATTCCCAATGCAAAGTTTGTGCACCCAACTTTTCTTTGCTGTACTCCTCCATTATAATTTGTATTTTTGGTCCTTAATTTTGAAATGCTTTTATCAAAGTGTGCTTTCTTTTTTAAAGGCTAGCCTGCATGTCATATGCAATCATAGGTATTTATGCTGATGACCCCTTTTTGCAGTGAAAAGCAACTTGGGAAAGGGTTGATTATCAGTGAAAGTGGTGGTGCTTAATTCTTATCACACCTGTCACTTTTCCTCTTCCTCAACCATTTCCCCACCTTCACAGATTTCTAGACACATGTTAGCAAGCAAAGGTAAAGGTTCCCTTGCTCGAAAGCTAGTCGAGTCCAACTCTAGGGTTGCGGTGCTCATCTCCGTTTCAAAGCCGAAGAGCCAGCGCTGTCCGAAGACATTTCCGTGGTCATGTGGCCGGCATGACTAAACACCAAGGCACACGGAACGCTGTTACCTTCCCACCAAAGTGGTACCTATTTATCTATTTGCAATTTCTTGCTTTCGAACTGGTAGGTTGACAGGAGCTGGAACTAGAGACGGGAGCTCACTCCGTCATGCGGCAACTCGGGTCTTGAACTGCTGAACTACTGACCTTCAACAGCCTGCAGTTCAGCGTCTTAACCACTTGAGCCACCGCAGCTCCTGTTAGCAAGAAAAGCAAGGGCAAAATACGTTGAGCGCATTTGTCCCCAGCTACTTCCTGAAAATTACTCCTTCCTGAGGCTCTTTTTCACTACAAAAAGCAGCTGTTGAGATTAAATAAATGCATTTGCATTTAATGTGTTGTTTGATCTTAACACTCTTCATTTCTCCTGTTTGACATACATTTCAGTGCAGTGTCTGTCCTGATCCTTATGATTGAATTGCTGTTTACATAAACTGCTTAACTGCTTTATTTGGTACCCAAAGATGGGTTGTCGGAAGTGTTTACAAGATCTTGAAGGTGCTGGTTCTTCGGGAAGATTTTCCAGTTGTTATCTCTGCATGCTGTCCAGTGCTAATCCCAGGATTAATGCAGGGTACAGCTGATTGAGTAGGACATAAGAGACTCACTGAGCAATGTGATCGGCTCTCATCCATGAATAGTAATTTGAAAAGCAGAATATAGTCTTCCATTATCACTTTACTAGTTGCTTGGGTAGGCTCTGGGAACTGCCTTAAAAAGAAAGGAAACAGGTTAAATGACATGATCCTCACCAGCAGTGCTCCCTCTAAGCTGTGGAGTTTTGTGAGCAAAAATTCTACTTTGCGAGCTCCTGGCATTAAATTGTGCATGTGCAGTTTGGCTGCTGCATAAATTAGCTTGCTCTGGAGCCCCCCTTCCTGAGCTGAGACAAAAATCTGTGAGCTGGAGGCTAAAAAACTGTGAGCTAGCTCACAATAACTCAGCTTAGTGGGAACACTGCTCACCAGGTATATTTTAGAAGGAAGTCAAACCTTTTTGTATTTCCCTGCAAAGGCTGTGACCAAGGCTGGTTGAAGTAGCATTCCTTTTCTCTCCACCATTTTGCTTCTTTTTCCTTAACTAAAGATGGAGTGGAGAGGCAAGGAGTGAGAAGATACTACTGCTTCCAGTCACAGATCAATTAATGAGGATATGGAGCACCATACTGAATGCTAAAACCAGTGTGTCTAGGAAGAATGGATGAGTAGCAAAAGTCCTGGATTGTAGGGCAAGTGGAATGTTAAAGGCTCTTAGCATTCATCATCTCTAGGGGATCGGCTGAGAAAGAACTTGAAAAGCCTCTTTCCTGGTGGTGAAAGTGAGTCATTATGTCTATCGGTTTGGTAAAATCTACCCAGAGGTTGAGTGACTCAAGTTCCATTGGCATAGTTTATGGGTTTAAGATTTTCTTCTGGGTTTAAGATTTCCTTCTAGCTAGGATTATGAAACTCATCTGCGACCAATGCTCCCTCTAAGCTGTGAAGTCTCGTGAGCAAAAATTCTACTTTGTGAGCTACTGGCACTGAAGTTGTGAGTGAGTGAGCGATAATAGAAGAGAATTTTCTACAGAATTACTACAGTAAAAGATTTTGCAACATATCCTTATTGACTCTTCGTTATTTTTGTCATGGGTGTTGTTTTTGGATTTCCACTTCCTCCCGAGATCTCTCATTTTTGGCTTCTACCACCTGGAGGTTGGCAGCACTAGTTCTCCTGGAGGAAATGGCTGCTTTGGAGAGTGGAGTCTGTGGCATTATACCCTTCTGAGGTCCCTCCCCTCCCCTCCTCAACCCCTCCTCTTCCCAGGCTCACTCTCCAGGAATTTCCCAACCTGGAGCTGGCAACCCTAGTTAGGACGGCCCCAATGAGTTCCTCACAAAGGCCTAGAAAGGGTTTCCTTCTACCAGTAGCCACTGAGGGAGCCAAGCAGGAGAAGTGTCTTCGTCGAGAGAGACAGCCGTTTGCCAGTAATTCTGACAGAGAACAGTGACTGAGGTGGGAGTGGGCGGGGAAGAGGAGCAAACCCAGCACCTGGCCAATGGCACGCGAGTACTCTTGAGTGACGGCTGACGGGCCAATGGCTGATGGAGCGCATTGCACAGTGAATGGGAGAGCCAGCAAGTGCTACCCCACTACTCACTTATATATAGAAGGAGAGCGGAGAGATGCTTAGTGAAGCATTTTTTTCAGGAAGAAGAAGAGGAGGAGATTGGATTTATACCCCGCCCTTCACTTGGAGTCTCAGAGCGGCTTACAAACTACTTTCCCTTCCCCTCCCCACAACAGACACCCTGTGAGGTGGGTGGGGCTGAAAGAACTCTGACACAAACTGCTCTTTTTCAAGGACAGCTGTGCCAGAGCTTGTGACTGACCCAACATAACATATTTTTTTTCATAGAGCAACTGAAAAGTTAGATGAAAGACTTGCCCTTATGGCAGAAGGAGCCCTTAGAGAGTTTGATGTGGAGACACATTCTTTATTTTGCCTGCAAAAAAGCATTGTTCAGTTGCTGAGGTGTCTCTCTAGCATAGAAAAATGGGCATCTAGACTGCAGTGTGTGCTTGTATGTTAAATTGAGCATGTGAAACAATATATACAAGTTGGGTACATTTCATTTATTTGGTAGGGACAGAATCCAGCTCCTATCACATGGACTGCATTGGTCCCCCATTGCCACGATCTGTGATTTTTACTGGCAGAAACAGATAGGGAAAAAGAGGTATAAGAGCTGGGGAGATTAGAAGGTTAACTTCAGAATCTCCCTTCTTTAAAATTACTGTTTTGGTGTGCCTTTAATGGCGAAACTCCAGGCCTTCTGGTTTCGCCAGTTCTTCTGTGGGTAGCGGGGCCTGTCAGACCAAAATTTGGAGTATATGTAAAAGTTAGACTGCAGCACTGAGACTCAGCAACCTTGGCTGTCCTGTTTGGAGTATTTGGACTACCTCTGAAAAGGCAGTCAAGCTTTTTGTGTTCTAATCTTCTGCCTCTTCCTTTAGGAAAGCTGTGGTAAAAACTACCGTGTGTCTTGCTTTCTGTGCATCATTGACTGTGAGGGTGTCCTTCATTTAATTTAACCAAAAGGTTTTCAGAAAACCAAGTAAATAAACACCTTTTACAATTAGGGTTTATTGTCCTGTTAACAAAAACATTATTATTATTATTATTATTATTATTATTATTATTATTATTATTATTATTATTATTATTATTATTGCTGCAAGTGACAGTGTGGTATCTAATTATTTTCATCTGTGGTATCTAATTATTTTCAGGGTTGTGGATGTCTTGCTGAAGGCAATCATGAGAGCCATGTGGCTTGCTGGAGGATTTCATTGGATAAATGTAAAGGGCAGGCAGGCATTGCCCACTGAAGCAGCAATACTGACTCTGGCCCCACATTCCTCATACTTCGATGCTATCCCCGTAACAATGACCATGGCCTCCATTGTTATGAAAGCAGAAAGCAAAGATATTCCTGTGTGGGGAAGTAAGTCAGTGAAATATTTATCTTCCAACTAGTATTTACAGTGAAGTCCTAACAAAGTCGTGACTGTTTTTCATTGATCAAAACTGCGTTCCAAAGTAGAAGACAAAATCACTCTGGCAAATAATCTCAGTTTTTATTTCACAGGATTGATTGATGCTTAACAAGATCTTGTTTGTAAAGCAGAAAATAAGAAACTTGTTTCAAAGGACCTCTTGGAATGTCAAGAGTGGGTCTAATTTTTAACATCCAATTTATGAATGGGTGCAAAAGCTATATCTGACTCCCAGAGAATGATCATTTAGCTCTTCAGGTGTCCGTTGATAGGTAGGAGAGGGGTTTAAAGAGAGTGATAGCTGTAGCAATTAAACTTCTTAGCTGTTCTCTTTGAGGGATGGAGTTGTTGTATTACCATCTTCCTTAAACTGGTGTGCATGTAAAAGTAGCCATTGAAAAGAGATTTTAGAATGTCTATTTGAGTGGAAATGATATCAAATGGGCTTATGGCCTTGGTCCCAGGAGTGACTGTCTGGATTGCGCTCTGGCTGGAAGTGTCAGATGTCACAATGTATCCCTGACAAATCAGTAGTAAGTACTGATTACTAATTTATTGTTTTATTATTTACTTTGATTTGATTTATTAAATTTCTACCCCGCCCTCCCAGCCAAGCCCGTCTCTGGGCAGCTTACATAAAACAGTATAGAATATACAATGCACATAAAATATAGATTAATAGCAACAGTTAAAACAATTGAACAGTTCTAAAACCATTTAACCATGAGACATAATAAAGTGCTAGTATCGATGGTTTCACAGCAGTTGTTGTTGCAGAGTTCTCTCTCTCCTCGCAGTCGGCTCATTGAACTTCTTAGACCATCTTAGGCGGCTAGCTCAGGCTATAGTTAGAGGTCCCGGGGGAACAGACAGAGTGTTCCCTCTATACCTTGGAGCTAATAGCCACTGATGGACCTGTGCTCCATATGTTTATCCAGTCCTGTCTTGAAGCGGTCTATGCCGCTCAGCCCTGAAAACTCCTGCCTCAGTGATCTCCAGGTTCTACTTGCTCACCACAGAACTGCACAAAATAAAAAACTTATCTTAATGAAGTAATACAACAACCCTGTGAGGTAGGTTAGGCTGAATGTGTGTAACTGGCTCAAGGTCACCTAGCAATCTTCCACAGTAGTATGGGGAGTCATACCTGGGTCTCAAAATTGTAGTTCAGCAGCACTCTAACCACAACAGCATGCTGGCTCGCTATGATGTTTATGAGTGTCTTGTCATGCTGCGCCCCCCCCCATCTTGCTAGTCAAGCCCATCTTGTATTTTAAATCCCATACTGTCTTTCCAATTTACATGAAGCTCATCACCTCTTTCACTGGACTTGAGCAAATTCATCTCTGTAGCCAAGGAGTAGCACACTTGCTCTGTTTTGAACATTGAACATCGTTGAACAAAGCATTAAAGTAACTGACCTCCTTGCAGAGGCTGTGAATTCTGCTGTCCAGTAGGACAACATTCTGGAGGCAATAACAGGCTTGTTGTCGGATCCCTGAGTCACGTTTTCCCCCCGCCTTCACTTCTCAGGGTTCTGCGTACCTTTTGTCCATGTACAAGAGGCCAAGTTCCATCCTTGGCATCTCCTACTGACAAAGTCTCTGGTGATCAAGATCCCTTTCACCTCTGCCATTTTGTTCACCAGGCTTCCTGCAATTCTGTGTGCACCCGTGTCAATTGGTGGACTTAAATCCAACAATTTGCCCTCCTCTCCTCTATATATATGGAGCTGCGGTGGCTCAAGTGGTTAAAACGCTGAACTGCAGGCTGTGGAAGGTTGGTAGTTCAGCAGTTCGAGACCCGGGTGCCGCATGATGGAGTGAGCTCCCATCTCTAGTTCCAGCTCCTGCCCACCTAGCAGTTCGAAAGCAAGAAATTGCAAGTAGATAAATAGGTACCACTTCGGTGGGAAGGTAACAGCGTTCCGTGTGCCTTGGTGTTTAGTCATGCCGGCCACATGACCACGGGAACGTCTTCGGGCAGCGCTGGCTCTTCGGCTTTGAAACGGAGATGAGCACCGCAACCCTAGAGTCGGACTCGACTGGCTTTCGAGCAAGGGAACCTTTACCTTTACCGTTACCTCTATATGAGGGCTACCGGTCTCCAATTGATTATATCATTCCATTTAGTGATAAATGGGGAAGATCTGTAGCTCAGTGGAAGAGTGTCTGCTTGGCATGCTGAGGGTCCTAGGCCCTCCGGTTAATGGTCTGGCGGTAGGTGATGTGAAGGGCCTTTCTCTGCCTGACACCTTAGAGAGCTGCTGCCAGTCTTCGTGGACAGTACTGACCTTGATGGACCAATGGCCCGATCCGCTATAAGGCAGATTTGAGGTGCTCTGTTACACACACGCTCTGGGACCAGGAAAATGATATGATTTCAAATGATTCTTCTGTCTTCAGTGCAGCACCTGAAGAGACCCCTATGATAGGCCCAAATTCAGTAACTCATAATACATGTCTTTTGCTTGGCGGTTCTGTGTCTTGACCACTCTACTGTTCCCGCAGGCAGTATCCCTCTTGTTGAAGAGGGAAGTTTCCAATTGAAGAATTCCAATGTTCCCTTTCACGGGGTTTATACTTAGCTGCCTCTCAATGTGCACAAAGATTAGTGAGGCCTATGTGCAGCTTTTATATTAAATTCTCCCTGCCACTTTGACAGATCTTATTGATCCTTTTCAAACCAACCTGCCTGAATCCCCCCCCCCTGTTTTACTAAGATTGTCAGCTCTTTTAGCTTTCACTGCTGCGTTTTCTAGCATTTTTACATATCTATATGTGACATGATGGGCATATTTGTCTCTGGTGTTAGTGCAAACGCTCCACAGAGTTAAAGGAGGCATGGTAGTCATATTTTAACTGACTAGCAGACACCAGTTCCCTGGTATTCTGATTGGAGGTCTGGGCTACTTGGCATAGCCCCACAATATGACAGTCCAGATCCTGGCCTTTATATTTTATTCCTGACAATAATTTTATCGTTGAGGAATGCACTTCTAGTCCCTGACAAAGACAACCTGTTGCTATACCTTTTTCTCTGCCTGTACTGCTGCACAAATTGCTCTGCAGACTACACAAGTTTTACATAAGAACATAAGAGACGCCAATGTTGGATCAGGCCAAAGGCCCATCTAGTCCAACACTCTGTATCACACAGTGGCCAGAAAAACCAGTGCCATCAGGAGGTCCACCAGTGGGGCCAGGACATTAGAAGCCCTCCCACTGTTGGCCCCCCCAAGCACCAAGAAGACAGAGCATCCCTTGCCCCAGAGCCCCTATCTATACCTTGTGGCTAATAGCCACTGATGGACCTCTGCTCCATATGCCCATCTAATTCCCATCTATAGCCGCCACCACTTCCTGTGGCAGTGAATTCCATGTGTTAATCACTCTTTGGGTGATTAACCTTTTCTTCCTTGTGGCGCGTTCTGTCCATCCTTTCTTTAGCCACATCACACCTCTTTTCACTGCCTTTGTTACCATCGTGCAGATCTGCTTATTCTCACTCCTGCTGATGAATTAATGTGTTGATCATCTCCTTTCCTGTGTTGTAGCAGTAGCCTCCCACTTTTCTGAGTGGCATACATCACTCTTGTACCTTGCACCTCTAAGTGGAGAGGAGAGTTTCTATAGAAACTGCAACAAAGTTTGGACCCTTCTTGTGCTGTTGAATGTTTTTGGGAACTGATAAGAAAGAAAGAAAGAAAGAAAGACTTGCGCTGTTGAATGTTTTTGGGAACTGATTTGAAAGAAAGAAAGAAAGGCCCTCTCTGATCTTTTCCTTGTTGGATTACTAAGCATGCTACAAAAGACGAGTATAACCCCTTGTTTTACTTTTGGCACTTACATGGTGCTTCATTTATGATAGGGTTCTAACTTATACCCTCTCCATGCATGAAATTTCAAAAGGTGATGTCCTGCTGGGAACCCCTACCAAGGGTGGTCTCTCACTCCTCATGTAATGCATGGTCAGCATCCTCACACAATCCATCCTTGTGGGTTGGTTGACGCTATCACACTGTGTTTGAGTGCACAGCCTTTCGTTACCACTCTGTGTATGATGGCTCTTTTCAAAAGAGTGCTCTTTTTCTTTTCTATTTCCTTTATCACATAGTGCTCTTTTTCTTTTTTCCTTTATCACATTCCCACATGTATTTTGGTGGGGACACTTGAACAGAGCTTACTGCTCTGGTATAGGAGAGTTCTGGGCGAAGGTCAGTTTGTGCCGCTAAAGAACTGTTGATAAAGTGATCCTCTGTGGTCTCCTTCTGAGAGATTCATGTCCACCTCCTTCACTCAGTGATCTTGCTAATCTTCCCATGTGGGACTGCACAGAAGCCACGACGATGAAAACAAGGTTGCACTTACCTGTAACTGTTGTTCATTGAGTGGTCTTCTGTGCAGGCACACATCCCTCC